TCGTTATGGTGCTCATCACAGCGCCAAATATTTAGACTTAATAGGCTATTTATTTTCACATTTTTATTTTTAATCTGGACTACAACATGCCCTAGATATTGTTTGAAAATGTTTAGATTCTTTATTGTTACAATAAATTCTTTATTCTTTATTTACAGTCATACTTTACATTAAGGCCCCATTAGTTAACATTAGTTAATTTATTAGTAAAACATAAACTGCCAATGAAAAATTCTTCTAAACATTCATTAATCTTAGTTCATTTCAAATTCAATATTTAATAACACATTGTTAAAATCAAAAGTTGCTACTGTGTCATTTAATGAACTCGAGCTAACATTAACTAACAGTTGTATTTTTTAACAAAGATTAATAACTTGTGTAGCAAATGTAGTTATTGCTCATTGTTAATATTAGTAAATTAACTAAGGTTAACTAATGAAATCTTATTGTAAAGTGTTACCTATTGGTCTTTATAATTCTTTTGTACTTTAATCTGTGTGAAATTATTTACTTTATATTTATTTTTAGTGTATTGCTTTATTGTATTTAAATGTGCAGTTTAAAAAAGTTATTAAACCTGTTATACTTTATTATGACAACACTTTTTTGCAACTAAATTTCAATTTTGTGATAATACCGTATACCGTGATAAAAGCATTAGCAATTAATCGCAACATGAAAATTTGATACTGTCACATGCCTAGTGCATATAGACGCTATACTTAAAGGGAAAGTGTACAATTTTTTGAAATTCCAGTTTACTGTTTACTGTCAGTTTAACATGCAAAGACAATATAGGTTGATTGCCTCTAAAAGTGTAAAAAATACTGTGGCGCTATTAAAACATTTAATTGATTGAGAACCCCAGCCAGCTTCACACAGTAACACTGGCTCAAACAATGCTGTGAGTTTAGGGCGGGGCTATCGATTTGACTGACCAATAGCAAACAGGAGATGTGTTCATGAAAGCTGTTATTATTTTTCCACTTCTTTTTGCTGATGGTAGTGGTGCAGAAATGACACACTTTACCTTTAATATTTGACACAGACAAAGGAAGTATTGTAGCTATGGTCCAACATTTTTTTACCACCAAAAAATAAACTATATATATATATATACTGTAAAATTGTAATAATATTTCACTGTATTACTGTTTTACGGTATTTTTTATTAAATAAATGGTCACCATAAGAGAATACATTTAAAAATCTTACCAACCCCAAACTTTTTAATGATAGTGTGTGTGCAAACACAGATGTTTACACACTCCTATACAGTGCCTATAAACCAGAAATAAATGTTCGATCACATTAGTGAAATTCCGGCAAAACACAAAAACTTTTTGTTGGTCAGTGTGTTGAATTTGCATGACCAACTCAAGTGAAAAATGCATGAAAAACTGCTTCATACAACACTCTCAATCAGTTTAACCCATAAAATTTACCTGAGCATGTTAATTGTGGCCGCACCGTAAACCCCAATTAGTGCATTGCAGTGAAATATTATATATTTGTAATTTCAGGACCCCACCAACGGCTACTACAATGTTCGAGCTACAACACATGATGAGGTCCGCACCTCTACCCGTTCCCTACTGTACCAGGAATTTCGGCCACCAAATCCCGCTTCAGCTTTGGCATCAGCTGGTGGCCCTGTGGCCAACATTCACCCGGCACCCACGGGCCGTTACGAGCCCCGGCCCGCTTCCCGAATGGCTCACAACACGTACGCCCATTTTAACACCATTGCCAGGGCGTCGCAAATCCAAGCCCCACCCAACCCTGTCTCCAAGACCACAGACTATTCTGGAGAGCGTGGTCTGCTGGAATCAACCAATCCGCTGGCTTTTGACAGCTGCGCTTATTCAACAACACCTCAATACAGGTTAGGTTTCGCCCCGCCATTGGAGGCAGGACCAGCCTATGAAATGTATCATACGGGACAAGGGGTGGGGACGAGTCAAGATGCCAATGTGGGAAAATACCCCAGCTCCACCCAATTTCCATATTCAACCCCACCTACAGAATACTCTCAGAGACACACGCAGAGAATGCAGACTCATGTGTGAAACAAACACTTACCACCAAAAAAGCACTTCCATGGATGAAAATATATGATACACGTGCTCATTTTAACACACTCTTACAGTATGAAAACTCTCTCCAATGCAACTATATGCAAACACACACAGACACACATTGCGTTTTCTACCTTTACAACATGATTTAGAGAAAAAAGTGCCAAATTATTAAATAACTGCAGCAGAAGACAAAATTACAAGAGGTCACAGCGATGAGTGGAGAGAAACATTGTAAACCTTATCCTGTTTCCCTCTTCTTCCCAAATTTAAGAAGGGGGGTTGATGCGGCAAAACCAGCTGTCTAAATATCTGCACCAAAATTAGACACTGCAAAGCAGCCATTGGACAGTTTTCTCCATGTGAATGGCCAATAAGAGGCTGGAGGGCACCAGAAGCCATCAACTATTAGATGTAAAGCCCAGTGAAAACCTGATTGCAATGCACTGGAGTTTACACTGGACCTGTTTAGATCTGTCCCATCGCTCAACCTAATAAAATATGTTTTAAATTATGGGAATCATGGGTGGGCTCACCAACAATTGTATAATCCACAATGTGATACTGCAGAACAAGTCAGCGAGTTAAAAAATACTGCAGGTGTCGACATTCGCTTGTGAAATAACTTTCCGTATGGCCCGCTCACCACTGCCCACACTGCCCGAGCTCCTCGAAGGAATAGCTGTCCGCTGCCAGTTTGAACTCTTCTGATAGGACGGAGACGTGAGTATCTGGGTAAACGCCACCAGTGCTTTTAACTCTGAAAGCTGGAGTTTATGTAACATTTTAGGATTTTTTACAGAGTACTCACAGAGTGTCAAAGTGAGCTTACAGACTCTTCTCTGAACACACGCTCTGCCTCCTTCCAAGAAAACCTCACGAGTATTTGACGCTTTGTGGTTCTATGTGTGCGCGTGAGTGTGTGTTTGCTGACGTGGAGGAAAAAATCGAATGTGATTAATCTCTTTGTCTGAAGTGTCCATGTATTTGTCCTTCACACTTTCAAAGTAGAGTAGAGTGCTTTTCCATATTTGTATCTGAACTAAATTGCATTTGAAAGCGCTTTTATAGTATTTTTCTAAGATGATGGTAAGGGGTCAGAGATCGAATGGTTTTTGGTATAAGCAATGTAAAGGAAAAAATTGTTTTAAAAACATTTTTTTATGTTCATGATTTGCACATTTGTCTAAATTCTGTAAAGGGATGATGAATCAGATCACAAGAGCAAAGTTTAAAAATAATACTAAAATGGAAGCAATTTAATCATTCAAGTCCTGAGTTTCTGTCAAATCTATTTTATGCAAAATAAAGAAGGGCTTTTATGAGCTCAAAAAACTGATTTGATTTAGGTTTAATCTACTGAAATTTACATGACCCTTGGTCTATATTAAAACATTTTGAACATTCAAATTATGCAATGATCAATACATTTTGGTTCAACAAATTAGCGGCTCATTTTTGAAATACATAGACATTTACAGTGAATTGGTTATAGGAGCCACTCTCTTTGTAGCCACACATTTACAAAATGGGTTTTCATTATCAATGTTTAATGACCGAGACTTATTTGGCAACTTTATGTATGACGAGAGGACAATGAATTTGAAGAATCAAATTCATGTATCAGAGACGGAAAGATGAGGGAATGAATGTGCAATACTGTGTTTATATGGTGTGAATGTGAGCATGTTTCAGAGTGACTCTTGAGATCCATTTCCTCATGCTCCTGTTAAAAAAAGACCTGTACTTCATTTGTTTATGATTAACTTTATTTCATTTATGTTTTATTCATCTGTCAAAATGTAAAATAGAAAAGAAAAAAATGACCCATGTGCTTTTTCCCCACAGCAACTTTTTTTTTTTTATTGTATGTGATTATTTTTTTCACAGTATTATAAAATAAAAACATCTTTCATACTGACTCATGGTCATACAGTAACAACATAATTCAGTACATACCTCAAATAATTAAAAAAAAAAAAAGTACATCGACACAATCAACATGCATAACAAATGAAGGAATATTTCAGAATTGTGACATTGTACAGCTGGTCAGATGTTTTTGTGCAAGACAGCAGGAGTTCATGCCAGTAATATCTAAATTAAGAAGACAGAAACATCTGGATCTCTCGCTGTACATTATATTAATGGCGGAGCTGCTGTTTACGCCTCAAACTCACTCTCAGCATTACTGTGCTCTACTGGATGTAAAATGTTGTGAAGAAACCATCCATTTGATCTTGCGATCATTTCGCAAATTCAGAGAAATTAACACATGCAAAAAAAAACAAAGTGTGTATGCCTCTCTTCCAGATGTGAAATCTATAAATCGCAAATGATTATGAAATTGTGCAAAGCTGAATGGTTTCAGATCTCCCTCTTGTAAATGCCACCTAATTAATGTGATAACATAAAAGAGCACCAGTCAATGTCCAAATCCTTTACTTGAGCATAGCAAGCAGAAAAATTCCTTTGATTTCCAAATACCTGCAGTACTCTGATTCTGCCACAAGGAAAAGTGAAAGTGATGTGACGTGTAACCAAGTATGGTGTTCCATACTCAGAATTTGTGCTCTGCATTTAACCCATCCAAGTGCATACACACAGCAGTGAGTAGTGAACACACACACACACACCATGAACACACACCCAGAGCAGTGGGCAGCCATTTTTGCTGTGGTGTCTGGGGAACAGTTGGGGGTTCGTTGCCTTGTACTGAGACTCGAATCCATGAACCTTTGGAACCCCCCCACATGATTGTAAAGCGCTTTGGGTGCACAACAATACACAATATAGCGCTATATAAATGCATAATTCATTTATTCATTCAAATCTGACTCTCTAACCATTAGGCCTGGACTGCCCCCTTGTGCGTACGTCTGTTTGGAAACTGACATACCTTAAGCACTTTTCCACGTCAAAGACAGTTTTTCTGATTCTGAGTGGATTTTCCGCACACTCTAAGATCAAATCTGTTTTTATAAATGAGGCCCCAGTTCATTTACAAGATAACGCTCCTTCTCCTTCAGCAGTCTGCAGAATTCTGCTTTTACAGCAGCTCCTCCAGAGTCAAGAGCATCCAACAAGAGTCTCATTTTCTCCTCTCGTGGTTCTGCAGCATGAACTTTACTGTACATTTCACCATTAATCATGTCTTTGCTCTTCAAACTGTCAGCAATTGCCATCACTGATGAAACTCTCTCAATGAGTTTATCTCTGTGTGTGTTCACAAATTCTGTTTCTGATTGAAACAAAAGATGTTTTAAGTTAGTCTTCAAAAGATTGTGCAATATGTGTAAGATACAATTACAAGAATAATTGAAATGTTCAGCAATCAGACCTGGGATCCTTCTGTGCGCAGGAAGTTCTACACCTTTACTCGGTGCTACTAATCAATCAACATGCATAACAAATGAAGGAATATTTCAGAATTGTGACATTGTACAGCTGGTCAGATGTTTTTGTGCAAGACAGCAGGAGTTCATGCCAGTAATATCTAAATTAAGAAGACAGAAACATCTGGATCTCTCGCTGTACATTATATTAATGGCGGAGCTGCTGTTTACGCCTCAAACTCACTCTCAGCATTACTGTGCTCTACTGGATGTAAAATGTTGTGAAGAAACCATCCATTTGATCTTGCGATCATTTCGCAAATTCAGAGAAATTAACACATGCAAAAAAAAACAAAGTGTGTATGCCTCTCTTCCAGATGTGAAATCTATAAATCGCAAATGATTATGAAATTGTGCAAAGCTGAATGGTTTCAGATCTCCCTCTTGTAAATGCCACCTAATTAATGTGATAACATAAAAGAGCACCAGTCAATGTCCAAATCCTTTACTTGAGCATAGCAAGCAGAAAAATTCCTTTGATTTCCAAATACCTGCAGTACTCTGATTCTGCCACAAGGAAAAGTGAAAGTGATGTGACGTGTAACCAAGTATGGTGTTCCATACTCAGAATTTGTGCTCTGCATTTAACCCATCCAAGTGCATACACACAGCAGTGAGTAGTGAACACACACACACACACCATGAACACACACCCAGAGCAGTGGGCAGCCATTTTTGCTGTGGTGTCTGGGGAACAGTTGGGGGTTCGTTGCCTTGTACTGAGACTCGAATCCATGAACCTTTGGAACCCCCCCACATGATTGTAAAGCGCTTTGGGTGCACAACAATACACAATATAGCGCTATATAAATGCATAATTCATTTATTCATTCAAATCTGACTCTCTAACCATTAGGCCTGGACTGCCCCCTTGTGCGTACGTCTGTTTGGAAACTGACATACCTTAAGCACTTTTCCACGTCAAAGACAGTTTTTCTGATTCTGAGTGGATTTTCCGCACACTCTAAGATCAAATCTGTTTTTATAAATGAGGCCCCAGTTCATTTACAAGATAACGCTCCTTCTCCTTCAGCAGTCTGCAGAATTCTGCTTTTACAGCAGCTCCTCCAGAGTCAAGAGCATCCAACAAGAGTCTCATTTTCTCCTCTCGTGGTTCTGCAGCATGAACTTTACTGTACATTTCACCATTAATCATGTCTTTGCTCTTCAAACTGTCAGCAATTGCCATCACTGATGAAACTCTCTCAATGAGTTTATCTCTGTGTGTGTTCACAAATTCTGTTTCTGATTGAAACAAAAGATGTTTTAAGTTAGTCTTCAAAAGATTGTGCAATATGTGTAAGATACAATTACAAGAATAATTGAAATGTTCAGCAATCAGACCTGGGATCCTTCTGTGCGCAGGAAGTTCTACAGCTTTACTCGGTGCTACTAATAATAAAAAATAATGTAAAAAAAGACATTTGAGATCACTGAGAAATCTGCCAAACATTTCAAAGTCACCAAAATCTTTTTAGGTCTCATTCCTTGTAGGGAATGAACCACTATCTTTCCAGCCTTTAGCTTTATCTTCTATCTAGGCCAAACCACCACACACCACAAAGATGAACAAAGCATTATTTTGGACTGTTCATGCAAATAAACCTGTTAGCCATTAATGGGGAAGCCAAATATTGTTTTAATCCAGATGAGCCCAAAATTGCTGAGGTCTCTGATGTCAATGATCACATGAGTTTCTGACACTTTGAGTGGCTGTATTATTTCTACATTACCACCAGTGAAATGTGCTACAGCCAAACAGTCCTTATTTTCTTCTGCAAAAAAACATTTAAGAATTTTGTTCTTGGGTAAAATAAAAGGTATTGTTTTCTAATTACACAGTGACCAACATTTTGACATTAAGTGCTCTTATGGCTCGTTTCCACCGAGCGGTACATTTCAGTACAGTACAGTATGGTACGATTCGGGATGGTACACACTGATCCGGCATGGCGGAACGAGTGAAGGAGACGCTTCATTCCCCTTGTGTTGTCATTCCCCTTGTAGCATGCACAAGTGATTATTCTCTGTCAACCAATCAGCTTTCTGCAGTGAGTCTAAGTCCACCCTTTAGGTATCGGAGTACTGTGCTAGATACCCCAAAGGAAGGGTCCCAAAAAGTGGTACGGTACGGTTTGCTATTTTGGTACCATTCACAACTTCTGACAATGGAACCTGAAATATTTACGTACTGTACTGTACTGAACCGTACCGCTCAGTGGAAATTAGCCATCTATGTAATCATTAAGATCTGTCATCACACTTCTTGCTAATTATTTACATACATATTATTTACACAAGTAATTTGATATGTAAATTATCAGTCACTGTTCCATAAATTCTATACAACTGGTCAAGACAATTACTGTGAAACACCTTAATATTTAGGATGCAGAAATAAACATACCAGAGAATATCACACAGTGTTGAAAGTGTAGTTGTGAGACTGAACCTGCAGAACAGTCAATGTTGTACAAGGGTCCTGCAGGCCGCAACTGACCCAGACCAGAATCCCATGAGACAATGTTATACAGCACCTCTCCTTCACCCTCCATCACAAACACAAGGCTGGTCAGACTGCACTGAAACTGACCAGCATGTGGACACACAAACCTGGAAGACAGAATATTTTTATTTTATTAAATCATAATGGCCTGCATATTTTATTATGTGATAACACTGGAGATCATGCAAAAAAAAAAAAAAGAAGAAGAAAAAAGATTTGGGATGTTTGAATCAAGATTTTGGAATAATTCATGCAAACAAATCCAAATAACAACATAAATTTTCCCAAGCAAGAAGTTTAGCGTACTGAAGCAAAAGATTTTAAAAAAAAACAATACACAGGCAAAACAATCAGCAACAATGGAACAAGCAGACATGAATATATGCAAAGGTTAACAAAAGCTGGATATGAGAAATGTTCATCTGAAAGATAATAATAGAGCCATTGTATGTAAGGATGAGATAGTTTTGAAGTGTTACAATAATAGACATATTTTAATTCATTTGAACTTTTAAGCTCAGAAATCCAACACCTTACCTTCTTACAAAAAACATAAGTGTTCCATACCTGTATATAGTCTTGTGTTTGTCCTCGTCATCTTGCTGAACACATTCAGGTGTGAACACTTCTGCATAACCTGAGGACTGAAATAAAGAAAGGAATGATCCTCTTATTCTGAACGTGATGACAGAAAGAATACATGACATTTGCAACTCACTGATTGTCCTGAAGATGATTCGGCTCCTAATGAAGAGTAAGACACAAATCATTAGACTCATGAGTTTCAAACTTTCACAGCCAGAAAGCTTGTTATTGAGCTCTGTGGCTAAAAACCAAGCCATTTAATATAAAACTGAAGAAATATATAATAATAATAATAATACTGACAGCAAAATTAAAAAGAAACAATGAAAAGCAAATTAATATTTGCCAAGCACCAAATTAGGCTTCCCTTAATAGGCCTTCAATTGAATAGTTAATGTTAATGACAATTCTGACTCAAAAAAACACAATTGCTTGTTTGACTTAAAGAGGCCTTTGTCTATGTAAACAATTCATATAAAGTTAAAGGTACTTTAAGCAATGTTAGATGTTCTAAACGTTTTTGAAACATTCTAATGTGAGTTTAAAGGTAATTAAATACAAACACAACTTTAATAATGAAATGTTGACTTAAAATTATATTTTTATAATTTGTAACTTTAACATTTTATATTTTTGTCATTATCAAAGGCCAACAGTAGGGAGTGCAAATGCACCTCCAGCATCCACAGTAAAATCGCCTATGCTTACAGAGATGCTTGGAGACTATTGTAACCAGAGATGGAGCTTAACAATAGCAGCACAATTTCATATTTAATTAAAATAACAAATAAAACTGAACTGCAAACTCAGCTTTACACATGTTTGACTTTGTATAGGTATAGTTGTCAATAGCAATGGTAGTAAAACAGCGTTCTCTCACAACAAACCAACAAAATGATGCTCTCTACAAAATGATTGACAGGCATAAAGTGCCTCAAAGTCTTTTGATTGGCTAAACAAAAAATCTGACTGAGACCACATTTTTCTTTTCACTTTAGGGATTGTATAAAATTTGCTTACTTTTACTCTCTGTATTTTCTGTCTTTATTGTCTTCAAGTCCTCCTCGGTGAAACTCTTCCTGTCTCGCTCAATCAACACTGAATTCCTCCAGCTAGAGGAGAAAACATTGATTACTGTATTTTCAAAGACATCAATTTTAGTCATATATTTTAATATTAATATTTTATGCATACTTACACAGTCAGGGTCCAACCTGTCTGCGTCAGTGATTCCACCAGAGACTGTTTTATGTTAAATGGGATAAATGAAACTGCGGAATTTGTCCTGGCATGGAAAAAACATTTAGCTACACATGTTTCTGAAAACAATTTTAAAATATACAAATATACAATATACAAATCCATATAATACATGCTTAAAAGAGCAGATCTTTATTCTTACCGGAGTTCGTTCAGACTGGGAAAGGCCTGGACAAGCGAGAGGATCGTGAAAATCCATCCGACAGTCAATTCGTCTATCTGCAAATGGACTTTCTTTAAACCAGACACAGAGTGCAAGACATCCAGAAGGAAAACCCCATCCGCTGATGAAACTTGAGACCTGTGTAAATATATTATAACATATATATTATAACATACAGTATATAGTGTTCATATAATAATATATAGTATAATGACATATACTGTAGTTTAACATGTATAATTTATACCATGGTCTGTCTGAATAGCCTTTTAATAAAGTAGCTTTGCAACTGAAAAGTTACATTATATTTCTCAGCATCAAGATGGCTTTTCAAAGTAATTAAACTCACAGCTTTATTATTAGTAGAGAGGAAGCTAAAAAGACTTGCACAATTCACACTCTCTTCTTCACAGACCTGAGTAACCTCTGGAGTTTCTGCAGGAAGATTCTCCAGTTGACAGTGGAAACCTCTGGGCGTGAACAGGTGAGAGTTAATTCTGAGATTAACGATGATGGTCTTATTTTAGAGCTGGAAACTGAAAACCGAAAACAGAGCCTAAAAAAGTAAAGTTTAGAGACTTTACTTTTATATTAGTAGCAAAAATTAAGCAGTCATTTTTTTATGATTAGAGTTTCTTACATGACGTCTTCATCTTTAACTGATGCAATAATCTCTTGGCAGAAGCTTTTGATCCTTTTTTTGTGAGAAGCTTTTGAAGATTTTTGATCCTGTATTCTGCCAATTACAATAAATTGATTATTTTACTGTACAAGTAATGGACTCTTTGCATGGTAACTTCTTCATTTTGTCTCTATCAAGTCAGTAAAAATCTGGTGCAGTGAAAAAAAATATTTTTTATGATATTATATGAAAACAAGACTTTCTAGAAAAGGCTATAAAACAACGCTATCTATTTTTGTATGACAGAAGGCTGTCATTTCATTCAGCTACAGCTGAGAAGCTAACAAGCCTCTAACTAAAACTTTTCCTTATATGTATAATATTTGTATAATATTATGTAATTACATTTGACAAATGAGAGTTAACGTTACTGTGGCTGCATGTCAAATGTGGGGTGAATTGTCATAGTATTACTGAAAATGGATTCGTTGACAGAGTGATCCTATATTTAAACATATAATAGTATGAGCAAATTATAAATGGGAATAGTTTTTGTCCCCAAAATAAATAACCATCATTATGTGTAATTTCTTAGTTTCTGATAAATATCAGGCAACGAGAGATCAATCTGGAGTTGAAGACCTGATGATCCAGTTAATTGACAATGGTACTGAAAGGTTAAAGAATTTGATTTCAAAGAGAAGACTAATACTTTGCTTGATCTAAAAATATCACCAGAAGCACAGGCACTGGTTGATATTTTAGCGCAAATGTGTAGGCTGTGCACCATGCATAGAGTCCATAGCAGTAATAGATATTACTAAGTTTAGAATTAAATATCCATTACATCAGTTCTTTCACAATCTTTCCTTCACCAAGAGCTGAGATCAAATCCCCAGTATCATCTGTAATGTGATCCACCTTCAACCTTTAAAATGAACAGAACATATTAACATTCAGATATCAGATATAATAACTTGACGTCAAGATTAGAGCTCACATAAAATTGAATGTATTTGAGCATAGTACAGTTGGTATAAATTCAAGAGCATTTTTAAAGTCTCAAACATGTAGAGAGTCTGATCTTTGCTCACCACAACTCTTCACAAGTGTACAGTGCAGACTGAAGAATCTTCAGATTGTCAGATGTTAAACTGAGTCTCAGTTTGCCAATGTTTACACAGTTCTGAAAACAAAACCGCAACATCCAGCAGTCTGCATTTTTCAGTAGAATATTTGACAGATCTATTGAAGCCAACTGTTCCAAAACTTTTCCAATGAAGCTCTTCTCATGAAGCTCATAGAGACAATGGAGAATGAACAGCATGAGTTCATTTTGATATCTCTGTGAACACTGATTGATCCATTCCTTAAGCTGGGTTTCTATGTTGACAGAGACGGTCATGTTGTGCTTTTCAATGAATGAGGAGATCCATTCTTTCTTACAGAGACCACAGAGGAACAGAATCACAGGCTGCAGCAGATTTGAAACGCTTATTTCTAAATTTGCCTTCGAAAAGTCTCTATCAGACCAACAGGACAAAGCCCATCCTCTCTCTACAGTGTAAAGCAGCTCTCTCACTTTCCTCTGAGACTCTTCTTCATCCAGAAGGACATAGTAGAGAGCAGTGAAGAACTCCTGAAAGCTGAGATGCATGAAACTGAACATTGTCTCCTGGTGGATTTTTCTCTTTAAGAGGAACTTATGCAGGAATGGATTGCCAGCTGGGTCTGAAATTGTGTCATAAACAGTTTTTTCATCAAACAAGACTTGTTGTTCCAGCATCCCTCTCTCTGCCAGCTGACCCAGACTCCTCAGCAGGCTCGGGACAGACTGACTCAAACCCTGGCAGTGATGCTCCAGTAGAGTGGACACAAAGTTAACGTAGATAGAGGTGGTGGTTTCCAGTCCACTCATCATATCTGCACCATCACTGAACCTCTCTCGCATAACCGTGCAGATGATCCAGCAGATGACAGGGATGGAGCAAGCAGTGATGAGAGTTTCATTTACTCTCACACATTCATAGGCTTTCCTGAAGAGCTCCTCATTCTGGAAGAACTTCTGGAAGTACTCCTCCACCCCCTTCTCAGAGAAACCTACTATCCTAGAGAAACGTTGTTGTCCTATAAGCAACATCCTCTTTGGGACCTCAGTTCTAGTAGTGATAAGCAAAAAATATCTGGGCAGGATTTGTTGACGAAGCAAGGAACAAACAATGACCTCAGGTGGGGCTCTCTGGAATTTGGATGATATGCAAAATTCATCACACATGAATCTAAGCTCATCAAGATCATCAAGTCCGTCAATGATGAAGAGCACTCTCTGTGATGAGTTCTGTAACATCTCTGAAATCTGATCTAATGTTAAACCACAATTCCAGCTCAGGAGCTCAATCAAGTTCATCTCCTCAGAAATACACTTCAGCTCTTCACACCTCAGACAGAAAACTAGATCAAATTCTTTAAGGTAATGTTGTTCAAATGCCCAGTCCAAAATAATCTTTTGCACTAAGAAAGATTTTCCACTACCAGAATTTCCTTGGAGAACGTTGGATACATTACTTGGATAACGCAGATGTATGTCTGACTTATTAAACAACTCCTCCACACTGATATTCCGAAAACTGCCTTTTTTATTTTTCTGAATAATCACAGGTTCAGTGTAGAGGGCAGCCAGTGAGACTCTTTCACCAGAGAGGAAACTCCTCTCATTCCTATGCTCATATTTCCGTTTGATTGACTCCTTATACTGACATACCATCTCCTGCCATGCTAGAGGAAAACATAAAACATTCTTTAGCCTCACAATACAAAATGTTAAATTCAATTGAGAAAAAACACATAATACAGTTACCCTGAGATGAAATGTCGTGTTTAAACGCACTGAACAGACAACAGAACAGACAAATGCTTTTAAACCAAGCTGAAGTTGCAGAATATTATTGCACTGAATTACTCATTAAGCTGAATTATAACTTGAACTGCTTGGTCAAGATTCAAATTACACTTCTGTCTTAAAAAAGAAAACAGTTCACCACCACTTATTAATGTGTATCAGCCTTTAAATTATTGATTTAAACTCTTTTAGTGTTTTTTAGATATTCAGTTGGTGGTTTATTTCAAGACCAATCAAAGTAGAACTCTCATATTAAACTGTCAGAATATGAGCCTACCTGGGTCTCTTTCAGTCCAATCATGCCACTTAAACACTGAGTAACTTGGCCACTTAATAAAGAAAGAATGATGAGTGTTAACAGTTCATTAACATGAGACGCACACAACATTAGCTCAAAATAAAAAGTTTTCAATTTCTCATCACTTACATGACATGACTGAAGTTCCATCATTGTGTCTGGCCCTGATTGAAAAGAACTACAGCTCATGTCAGCTGGAATAAGGGCACAAGTACAATTTGATATTATGTTGAATTAGTAGAAACAGTTTAGTGCCCAACGCTTATTATTCTGGCAGCGATCTCATGATCTGAAGTCCTTTTAAAACACTTCACCTTCACGCAGTGAGTGTCTGCGTGAGTTCCTTCACGCAGACACAAACACAGCAGCTAATTACAATGTTCATCAGCAATCAACGTAGTGCTCTCACAGTAAAAGATCAAAATATTAGCCTACCTTCGATTACGGGGAGTCTTTTTTTAAAGCTCTTAGACTGTACGAAAACTCGCCTCTTAATAAAGAGAGAAAAAATGAGTGTTTGAGCAGTTTATGGACATGAAGTAAACAGACGCCCACAACATTAGGTGAAAATAAAGAGCTTTCATGTCCTTCTTAGTGCACCATGGTCTTATTATAACAAACACACACTATAGAAAATTTCTTGTCACTTACTACACGCATAGATGAGTGAGGTTCCATCGTTGTGTCTGGCCCTAATTGAAAAGAACTGGTTAGAGCTCATGTCAGCTGGATTCAGGACACAAGTATTCAATTTGATCTGATGTTGATTTAGTAGAAACAGTTTAGTGCCCAACACTTCATTTACCCTTTATTATTATTATTCTAGTAGAGACCTCAAAATCTATAGTAATTTTAGGACACTGAGTTTCTTCATGCAGACACAAACACAGCAACAAACTATACTGTTCATCAGCAGTCAAAGTAGAGATCTCATATTTTACAGAAAGAATATGAGCCTACCTTCGGGATACACTACATCACGCATCTTAATAAAGGGAGAATGACGAGTGTTAAGCAGTTCATGAACAAAAAGTAAACCGACTCACACAACATTCAATAAAGAGCGTTGAAGTCTCATTGTAACAAACACACATTGTAGAACATTTACTTAGATCACTTACATGAGCAGATGACTCAGATTTTATCGTTGTGTCTGGCTCTGCATGAAAGGAATTGGTTAGAGCTCATGTCAGTTGGAATAATTACACATACAATTTGATATGATGTTGATTTAGTAGACTTAGTAGATTTAGTGTCCAGTGCTTATTATTCTGCTAGAGACCTCATAATCTGTATTATGAGGTCTCTATTTAAAGGCCACTGTATGCAATACTTAAATAACTTCCGATGGTTAAACCTGAACCATTCATACAGTACTACTCAAAATAGGTCCTATTTACTTTAATTGCCCTTTTGCAAGTCCCCCTGTCTTATTGGGGAAGATTAATATGCGTGTACATCTGCCATTCTTATCCAAAGAAAAATAACTATGACTGTAATGAGATAATGATGGGCTCGAGATTTCTCCCCTGCCCCTCTGGAGGTCTGTGCACGGGGCGGTTGTTACCTCAGAATTATCCCAGTATAAATTACAAATGTAGGCAGTTGTTACTGTACCGCTTATCAGCAGCCGCGCTTCTGAATAGGATGTCTAGGATTGCTGCATTATTTCCCAAAATATTTCTCCTCATTTATTTTGCCCTTTGTCGAGTATCTATTTAATTGTGGTGCGCAGATTCTCTGACTGTCCCCTCCACTTTCATCAGGAACACAGACCTTTCTAAAAATTAAATCAATTTTAAGAAGATCCCGATAATGGAAATTAACAGCAGAGTTAGGTAAGAATGTAATCTTCATTTACTAGATTGAAACATTTGTAAGACAAACTTTGTTGGCTTGACAAAATCTTATTTTAAAATGTAAAATGGTTTGAAGGTCAGGATAGATAGATAGATAGATAGATAGATAGATAGATAGATAGATAGATAGATAGATAGATAGATAGATAGATTACAGTTGATAGATAGATAGATAGATAGATTACAGTTGGTTGATAGATAGATAGACAGATAGATAGATAAATAGATAGATAGATGGATAGATAGATAGATAGATAGATAGATAGATAGATAGATAGATAGATAGATAGATCAACTGTCTATCTATCGATAGATAGATTACAGTTGATAGATAGATTACAGTTGATAGATAGATAGATAGATAGATGATAGATAGAGATATATAGATAGATTACAATTGATAGATAGATAGATTTCGATAGATAGATAGATAGATTGCAGTTGATAGATAGATAGATTACAGTTGATAGATAGATAGATAGATTAGAGTTGCTAGATAGATAGATAGATAGATTACAGTGGATAGATAGACAGACAGATAGATAAATAGATAGATAGATGGATAGATAGATAGATTACAGTTGATAGATAGATAGATAGAAAAACTGTCTATCTATCGATACATAGATAGATTACAGTTGATAGATAGATAGATAGATATATTACAGTTGATAGATAGATAGACAGATAGATAGATAAATAGATAGATAGA